CGGAAGATGTGGTTACATTTGGGTTAGCGCCTTCACTTAATATGTCGGCTGCGCGGTCATTCGGACAGGACCTGTCCAAAGGAAGAGTGACGGACGCCGCCGTACTTGGTTGTTGTATATTACTAAATTGTTCTCCCCCTCGTTGAGCCTCTTTCTTAATTATAGAACTAGCTGACGACGTTTGAGCCGTTCGGCTGGCGAGTAGTCCGGTTGAAAAAAAACACCTGGGTTGGAGCCTTTAATCCTGAATCGCCTGGAGTAAATGAGACTGGTTTGGTCGCTACTGGTCAGCACAACTTTAAGAGGCCGGGGACGAGTGGACATTGATGGATTATCTGCTCGTTTTCCAAGGCGGAAGGCTTTGATCAGCACTTCTGTACGGAACGGAGACCTGGACCGTTTACGCCAGCCATGTCGGGAAGTTTAACCACCGGGCTCCGTTCTCCTGGTCGCCAGTCTGGTTGTTCTCTCATGACGCCTTCTGTCAGCATAACTAAAACCTCCTGCCAGTTGCAATGCACGTGACATGGCCACGTGGTGGAGACAGCTTGAGGCTAATCGGCGTTGTGTCATTTGCTGGTCGGGATTGTAGGCGGACAAAGGTAATGTGTGCACGAACGCACGCACCTCGGCGCACATCCAAAGGTTGGGCCTCGCCTCGCTGAAACAATTCTCGTCACTGCCTTCCAATCCGCTTCTGCGGCCCCCCGTCATAGTCAGAACTGCTGTGTCTCAATCCTCTGTATCCACAGCAATCAATACCTCCTTCATTTCCATGAACGTACCTCTGGGTACAACCATTCCATTGTGCGGTTAGCTGACAATGCCCACTATCAAAAATGCATGCTCCAACTCCTAGCCATTATTATTATTATTAGTATTAGTATTCAGTTGTGTCCCGCCAGGCGCACGGAATTTCTTGCGCCCAACTCAGAAGGCACCGCCGTCCATACCATACTACCACATCTCTCCTCACCAGCATCTACTCTAAACATGACCACACTCGACACCACACAACGCTGGCACGTGATTGGCACATGTCACCTCGTGAGCGTCAAGTGTTTTTCGGCCCCTCTGGTGCATGTGTGATCCGAGCACCCTAACCCCAACTCCAAACCACAACCCTGATACCTAATCGCAGTCCCTAACCCTAACCTCTAACAGGTACGGCTACGAAATAGGATCAACCCAATCTCCGAGATACTTTGCGGTGAATCATTTTATTTTAGTGAATAGATTTAAGAATAAAGTTTTCGACAGAGGACTGAAAGAAATCAGCATGCAACTTGTGTGGCAGCTGCCAGCCAGCCTTCTGATCCGCGTCAGACCTGGCGGGCCAGAGGGTTGAACAGCAGCCCGAACAGGCGAGGAGAGCTGATTCAGTTGATTGGCTGTTGGCATTCTGGTATCGCCTTGCCTCAGAGTGCCGGGATGCAATGTGCAGTAGGGGCATCCGCAGGAGACGCTGCGGCAGGCAGCGGAGATCGGCAGGACCCATACGTCGCATCTCTTTCGTCTCAACGTAGGCAGGCCAACTATCCCGCATGTAGGCTCTACCATAGACAGCCTGCAGCGGAAGACGACGGCTGTCTGGCAAGAAGTCCACCGAACCGGGGGTGCCTCCCATAATCTGACCACCATTCCCCGATCCGTCCCATGCGCCAATATCTTCCTCCAGCTCCCAGACCACCAGGCCCTCAATCGAGCCTGAATGCATGAATTAAGCTTCCTTCGTATGTCGGCGTACAATAAGCAGGTGGCAAATGGAAAAGACTTGGCAGTAGCACGCTGATCACACACACACGAAATAATAATAATGTTAGCATTGCCCATCATTGCGCTTTCATGTTCAGGCAAAATTAATTGTCTAGGAGGGCATTCAGTGACCGATTGAAGTGAAAAATCGGTAGACGGGAGACATCCCTTAAAATGTGCTAATTTGTGGAGGTATTTGGAATACTGACCGAGTAGGTAAAACAGACGGACTGGTGTTGACACTGGAGCATTCCTAACTAAAATAAGACTGGCACACTTAACTGTGCCATGACGAACTAGGTGTGGTAGCTTGACGGCGCATCTCGGTCCTTCCCAGAACGGAAGGTCAGGCTGAAAGGGCTGTTTCTTGATGTGTCCTTTCAGGCTTTCCCAGTAGTCAGAGGTAAATTTGAACTAGTTTGGTTGCATTCACCGCGCTATGTGCGTGTGGGTGTCTAAGGAGTACAGGTAATCAAATCATGAGGCCAGGCAACTGGCCATTTGACAGTGTCCACAATATGCGCATTCTAGAACAAATAAGCAAATGCGCCACCAGCAGAATGAGCCACTCAAAATGTGACTGACCGTCCATATTCAACTCCGATGCTGCTCGGATGGCTGACTGAGCGCCCTCTGACCAGCCCATGCAGAAGAAGGGCAGATGACCCAGCTGGCGCATCAAATGCACGCCAACTCTGGCATCCTGCAGCAGAACCTCGGGATCACTCCAATCGCGGACGGGGGGAGTGCTCAAACCGCAGCCCGGCGGATCGAAGGCTATCGCCGTAAACCTAAATCGGGGAGGGGGGAAGGCGGACAGAAGTACATTTGAGAGGTGGAGTGATTGTTCATCACAGACGGTACGACTACTCTACACATGTGTTTGTGCGTGTGTGGGGTGTAGGGGTGTCAGCGGTGGGTCCACGTGATGGTCGTATTGGTTGCTCACTTGCTTGCAGGTGAGACTACGCCTAGCGTCCACTTGCTGGCACTCAACTCTCACCTGTGGCTCCACGTAGCTGGGCTCTGCTCGGCGGCCACACCCCAGGCAACCGTCTCGACCGGCGGGCTAAACCAGGTGAGGGGACCCTGTACGCTGTGCCGTGTGCACAGGGTTTGCGGATTCCGCTAGATGGAAGGTCGGATGGAACCTTTCGTCGGCACCGTCGTGACGTGGTTCGTCTCTGCACGCCGCTGGACAGCCGTTGACGGGATGGATCTCCACATCGACATCGCCTTGACGCGCCCACCTACGCCGTCAAAGACCGCGGCTTACGGCGAATTCGAATCGCTCTCCACTACAACCCGACGTCGTGGCCCCAGAGTGGAGTTCGGCCGTGCCACAACGGCACATAGCAGCCCTATTCGGGGGTGGCACTGCCAGCCCCCACGAGGGGAAGGGCCTAGAAAAGGTGGCCTAAACATTGCTGGGCACCACGCCGTCTTCAGACTAGCCAGGGCCGCAGACGTCTAATCATGGTCGAAACAATCAAAATCGAAAAAACAACAACCATACTCATTCTCCTCATCCTACCTCTTCTTCCTCTTTCTCCGCCTATTCTTCTACCTATAATTCGCCTTCGAAACCTTCTTCTCCACCTCCTTCCCGTCGCCCCACTCGTAGTCAAGAGACTGGCAGGGTGAGTCCGCTCACTCTGGCAGCCTGGGATGTTCGTTCCCTTGTAGACAATCCGAGGAGCAACCGACCGGAACGGAGGACAGCGTTAGGGTCACGAGAACTGGCGCGCTACAAGGTGGACATCGCCGCACTCAGAGAGACCCGTTTCTCCGACATGCCACCACCACCACCACCACCA